AAGTTTCACAGCCACTGGGATTCATCCCAGACCTGCAGCACTATGCGGTCCCACCAGTCCGTACTTGTTTCCCGGGCCCAGAATCGCCGTTCCAGAACATCCACATGACCCATTGCCACCGTGATGTCCTCGGCGCGGGGTCCCGTGCTTTCTGACAGGTCTGTGCTACTCTCAGACTTCAGGTCCTCACCGCGGTGCCGTAGCCTCCTTGCCTGATTTATCTGCATCTGCCTCTGGGAAAGGTGGATGATAAGCTGCGAGGCGTTGACAACGGACACAACTGCAGCGATGGTCGCAGCGGGCTCCATGCTCGCAGTGCTGTGGCGTCCGCGCTGTCACTGACCAGAAAAGTGCGCGAACTGATTTCCCGCCGGCGCTTTCAGGGAGGGAGGGCGGTAGTGACGGACGGATGATGACAGTTACCCAAAAGCACCCTCGACACATTTTTTTACCCAGAAGGCATTGGCGGCTCGATCCAGAATTCCAATGGGCAGCGGGGACTGCGGGAACTGTGGGATAGCTGCCCACAGTGCACCGCTTCCAATGTCGACGCTTTCCCCGTTAGTGTGGACTCACAAAGTCGAATTACTGTCCTTAGTGTGGACACACACATTCGACTTTGCAATATCGATTCCACATATTCGATTTAAGTAAAATCGAACTACTCTCGTAGTGTAGACAATTAGAGACTAAAACATTTATTTGAGCATAAGCTTTCCTGGGCTAAAGCCCACTTCATCAGATGCATGCAGTGGAAAATACAGTAGGAAGATATATATATACAGAGAACATGAAAAAATGGGGGTTAAAGTGCATAAAGTTGAGCGTGTACATAGAAACCTTTGCAGGATTGGGGTCTAAATGAGTTCTGTTCTCAGTTTCCATCTGATGCTTATATTTAAAATATAAGTAAGACTTTGCAGAATAAGGGCTGTAGTGTGCCTCCATCTGGAATGCTGGCTCTCTAGTGCTGCTTGTTACTGCTGGGGGGGTCTATGACAAATGACGACAAGCTGCTGCCCCTGTTCCTCACACAAACATTGTGTGCACATCGCACTGATGGCTTTGTACCATTCATCCCAGCCTCAGGTCACCTGCAGGTTTAACCTACTGTAAATGGTGGATTCGATGTAACTTGAAGTTGTTAAATCATGATTTGAGGACTTCGGTAACTCAGCCAGAGGCTAGGGGTCTATTACATGAGCAGATGGGTGAGGTTCTGTGGCCTGCAATGTGCAGGAGGTCAGACTAAATGATCATGATGGTCCCTTCTGCCCTCAAAGTCTAGGAGGCTGAGAGATGATGCAGACAGGTGCTTGGCCCACTTCCTGTTTGTGGTTGAAGGTATTTGGCTCATTTAAGACCATAGCCTGGCCAAGTCAGGGTCAACCATGGCAGTTTTGCTCCTCTCATTTTTCAACCTCTCGGGTTCTTTTTCACTTGCACAGCCACTGACAACAGTCTGACTGCACCGTGTCACTGAACTGAAAGCACAAAAGCTTACATTAGTGACCAAACATGTACAGCTAGCCCAAAAGAAACACACTTTTTTGGGCATGTCTACACAGGAGCTGGGAGCTGTAATTCCCAATGCAGGTATTCAGACACGCACCAGCTCTGCTTGAGCTAGCACCCGAGAACAATCCTGCCCAAGAACCCGGGTACATATTCAGGCAGCTATCTCTCTACCTGTTGCCCATGCCACCATGGCCACACTCCTATTTTTAGCACACTAGCTTGAGCAGAGCTTGCACGTCTGTCTACCTGCACTGGGAAACATGTTCCCAGCTGCAGTGTAGACATGTCCCTGTGTCACAAGCTAATTACTCCCATCCTCCCTTATTTTTCCTACACGTACACAGTCCAGAAGGGTCTTGGTGGTGAAATTCATCCTATTGCACTGCAGAAGGAGCACCATGAAGAAAACACAGAAGAGGAACAGAACTTTCCCAGCTTATTGATAAAATCAAGGTGAAATTATTTCAAGCTGAGTGAATAGACAGGAAACAGGGGCTGCTTGTAAATGTGAACATGTTTTCTGTTGCGACAGTTGTGAGCCACAAGCTTCCTTCTGGGGGTGAATTTTAAAAGTCGAATTCACCCCAAACCAGCTCTCTTCAGAGATGCACGGTAAGCACAGACTGAGTTATATTTCAATTGAACTAAATCATATTAGATACAGCTTTATGAAGAAATTCTAAATCTCTTATTAGGAGAGAAGAGGAGGTCTGAGCTGTTTGTTTTCTCCTAGAAATAGAGTGGCTGTAAACTCATAATTGTGTCTTTATTTAATCTCCAGGTACATGTCTTGTATTTAAACCTTAAGGAAGAAAAGTGTTGTGAATATTGCTCTAGTTTGCAAACATCTTTGCAGATCTACGTATGGGAAAAATAAAACTGTAGTCCTAATGTAAACGTGTGGAGGAAGTTGGGATTCAGAAAAACACTTAAAACAGCATTTCAGTCCCTTTGCTGTGCACTTTATTGTCTGAATTCCATCTTCAAAACTCAGTGCCTCTCCCTAAGCAATTGGCATTTTTTATAATTTCCCCCCCTAAACTATTTAGCAATGTGTTCAGGGGAAACATTTTAAAAAGCTCCTTTTGAAAGTTTTGACCCAACGGCCTCACTTTTGTTTTACCTCTCTGACTAAAGAATTGCAGATGCCACAAATTCCCAACTTTTTCACACACATTTACAGGAATCTCTCAGTCGTGGGCCACTTTCAAATTTTTAAAAATGGAATTTTAAAGTTATTTCCCATTTTTGATCAAAACTGAAAATTTATGTTCCAACAAAAGCTGCAGCAGCCCTTCTGGGACACAAGGGTTTGTTCCAGCTCAACCAAGGAACTTTGCTGCACCAGCGCTCTTATTGGTGACTGTGAGCACATTCCTGGGGTGCCTCAGAAGCAGTAATGACGGGGCTTCCTTTTGACAGGGCTACCTGCCAGTGACCAAACTTCTCTCATTCACACACTCCTCCAAAAATAACATTTTTTTTTCAAGTTAGCCCCTGGGTCAGAACCGTTATTTGGAACCCGACTGCTTCGTGTTATCACTGCTGGGTTAAGTGCAAAGGACACAACCTCCACATTCCTCTAAAAGCTTTGAGTGTCAACTAAGAAAGCCCGGGCATCAGTTAACACTTTCTCCCCCAGAGTGTAAAGATTTACACAGCACTAAGATGATTTTCACCACCTCTGGGGTTTCCTTAGCTCTGCTCTCTTCCAGCTCTGCTCTCAGGACACTCAGCCAGTCCCTTTCCCCTGTTTTAAGCCCTAAGCAGACACCATTCCCTCCCCATTTTCCCTGTGCCCCCTATCCCTTGTCTATTGCTCCACCTCCACTGACTGGTCCACTTTCCCCTGTAAACAATAAGCACTCTGTTTGTTTGTTTTCTCTCCTTTTTTGTGGGGGTGAGAGTCTGAGCAGCATGTCGGGGTTGCCAGAGGGGTCTGAATCTCTCCACAACGCACATGAGAGATGGAGAGAGAGAGCGTGAGTGGGGCAGACATGTCCAGAGGTGACAAGAAGCAATGGGCTTAAATTGCAGCAAGGGAGGTTTAGGTTGGACATTAGGAAAAAGTTCCTAACTGTCAGGGTAGTTAAGCACTGGAATAAATTGCGTAGGGAGGTTGTGGAATCTCCATCTCTGGAGATATTTAAGAGTAGGTTAGATAAATGTCTATCAGGAATGGTATAGACGGTATTTGGTCCTGCCATGAGGGCAGGGGACTGGACTCAATGACCTCTTGAGGTCCCTTCCAGTCCTAGAATCTATGAATCTATGAGACTTGGCATTGCCTTAAAATCACCTAAAATGCAGGCTCTTGCACTTGGTATTTCAGATTTTTCTAGGAGCGGGCCCCTGAAAACCTCACCTCCAGTCATAGGTTTGTAGCCTCCCCACAGCTCCTTCCTCTTTGCTGCCTACAGTCCTGAGGTCATGAAACCACTTGAACAAAACCCATTTAACTGGTTACATGAAAATATTTTTTGTTTTTATAATTGCGTCTTTCTAGCTGCTCCTGCAACTTTATGATGCCAATAGCTGCATGACGCTGTGTATTGCTCTCTGTGCCTTACAGGGCTACACATGCCATTAATTTTTCAACAAAGAAAAAATAAAATAAATGATGCACATCTTAGTTTAAATCCTCTAATTTGCCATTTGAGATCCTTCCTAATATCCCATGATGAGTGGAGGGAAGTCGCTAACTGACGTCCTTGTGCAGCGACTGGGCAATATGCCGTTGTATGAGGCCTGTTATAAAAATCAAGGAAGCATTGAAGATCAGTTTTAATTGGAGATGTTTTAGTTTCTTTATTGAGGATATAGCCATTTGCTCAAAGCTTTTCTGTTCTTCCTCCTAGATTTTTTGTGTGTGCATCTGTGTTTGAGCCCCGAGAAAACTGAGAGAAACAAATCAAACAAATCTAACTGGTAGCTTTCTAGCTAATGGTAAATTCATCACTCCCTGCATTTTGACTTGGAATGGGGTAAATTTAATCTGAAGTAGTTGTAGTTTATCCATTCAATTCCAAGCCAGCACTGGTTCTCAGGACACAGGGCCTGATACTCCAGAATCTGATGCACAGATTCTAGACTGTGCTAGGTTATTTTCTAATTTAGGTATCCTCACCCCAGGGTTTGGAAATCCATTCAGATGCTAAATACTATTCTAGCACCTTTCATCCTAAAACTGCAACTGGCTTTACAAACAGTAACTTAGCTGCATAACACCCCTGTGATTTAGATGAGCACAATTGTCCCCATTTTACAGATAGGGAAACTGAAGCACAGAAAGACAAAACTAGCTATCCAGTGAATAACTCGTGAGGAAAAGCACTGAGGAGTTATAAGCCCCAGTGACCTGCTCTCACCACTAGGCTACACTTATTTCCTCTACATGGGAATTACAGTTGTTATTCCATATTAACTATTAATAATGGGACTTTACATTGTATTTTAGGTCCCGTCCCCCCCCGATACTGGTGATGGAAAACCAAAGCAGCATCAGTGACCTGCTTGTAAGTGCCTTTGACAACCTTCTTCAAGATGACTTCAAAAGATTTAGAGACAAACTATCACACTCTGACTTTAAGGGGAAGGGTACCATCCCCCGAGGTCAGCTGGAGAATGCCGACAAAATAGACACTAAGAACCTCTTGATGAAATTCTATGGTGCAGAGACTGCAGTAGATGTAACCGTAGATGTTTTCATTCAGCTCAATCTCAGAGATGCTGCTGAAAAACTCAGAGAAGAAAGAGAGAAAGGTAAGAAACCTAAAGTTCTTAAAACCCAGGGGAGTCTCCCCCAGGGCAGCAGGCGCAGAAGGAGAAACTGGCTGATGGCAGGAGTGACAAATTCTGAATCCCAGCTGGAAATGAGGGGGACTCAGATCAGAGATGCCCACACCAGATTCTCTGACCTGCTCCACTCCCTTTTTACCACTCAGCCAGCACAAGGGGAGCACAGGAAGCCTGTAACTCTCCATCTGAGGAAATCCCTAGTGTGGGGGTGTCCCCAATGGGTGTAGAGCCAACAAAACAGTGCAGAGAGTGTCCTGGACAGAGAGGTGGGAGGAGGAGTAGCTAGCATGCATCCCCAGCCGGGGGACTCTTCCTTGGGGACCTTCGTAGCTGGTGCAAGTTAGAACAGCTCCCAGGCTGCTGTAACCTGTGCTGCAGCTGGGACATAGAATTGAGGATCTGTAACTGGAAACTGATCACAGCAGAGATTCTGGCCCAGTAGATTCTCACCAAACAGCTGACTGGCCCTGTGACAGTGGTCCCGGTAGAAGCCAGCTGAGGTCATTCAAATAGGATGAACAGCAAACAGAATGGGGCGAACAAACCCCAAAAGCTGGCAGATATTCCAATATTCCAATTTACCAAGCTAGCCTGAAACAGCTTCTGTATTACCTCACCAGTTACTCAGAAGTCCAAACAACACAGTTTCCTTAAAGTACCCAGCCTCAGCCCTCCATCCAGGTACCCACATCAAAATATGATGAAGATTTCTGAAAATCTTGTTCCATCATATAAAAGAAAAGGTTCTCCTGATCCCAAAGGACCAGCCACACCCCCAGGTCAAATTATAACTTAGATCTTATCCAAAATACATGCTTATCACCAATTCTTATTAACTAAACTAAAAAAAATTTAAAAAGAAAAGAGAAAGAGAGTGTTGGTTAAAAGATCAATATACATACAGACATGAGTTCAATTCTTGAAGTCCAGATACATAGCAGAGATGATGAGCTTGTAGTTGCAAAGAGTTCTTTTAGAAATAGTCTACAGGTTATAGTCATAGACTCATAGACTTTAAGGTCAGAAGGGACCATTATGATCATCTAGTCTGACCTCCTGCACAACGCAGGCCACAGAATCTCACCCACCCACTCCTGTAACAAATCCCTAACCTATGTCTGAGCCATTGAAGTCCTCAAATCATGGTTTAAAGACCTCAAGGTGCAGAGAATCCTCCAGCAAGTGACCCGTGCCCCACGCTGCAGAGGAAGGCGAAAAACCTCCAGGGCCTCTGCCAATCTGCCCTGGAGGAAAATTCCTTCCCGACCCCAAATATGGCAATCAGTTAAACCCTGATCATGTGGGCAAGACTCACCAGCCAGCACCCAAGAAAGAATTCTCTGTAGTAACTCAGATCCCACCCCATCTAACATCCCATCACAGACCATTGGGCATATTTACCTGCTAATAATCAAAGACCAATTAATTGCCAAAATTAGGCTATCCCATCATACCATCCCCTCCATAAACTTATCAAGCTTAGTCTTGAAGCCAGATATGTCTTTTGCCCCCACTACTCCCCTTGGAAGGCTGTTCCAGAACTTCACGCCTCTAATGGTTAGAAACCTTTGTCTAATTTCAAGTCTAAACTTCCTAATGTCCAGTTTATATCCATTTGTTCTTGTGTCCACATTGGTACTAAGCTTGAATAATTCCTCTCCCTCCCTGATATTTATCCCTCTGATATATTTATAAAGAGCAATCATATCTCCCCTCAGCCTTCTTTTGGTTAGGCTAAACAAGCCAAGCTCTTTGAGTCTCCTTTCATAAGACAAAAAGAACAGGAGTACTTGTGGCACCTTAGAGACTAACAAATTTATTAGAGCATAAGCTTTCGTGGGCTACAGCCCACTTCTTAGCCCACGAAAGCTTATGCTCTAATAAATTTGTTAGTCTCTAAGGAACCACAAGTACTCCTGTTCTTTTTGCGGATACAGACTAACACGGCTGCTACTCTGAAACCTTTCATAAGACAGGTTTTCCATTCCTCGGATCATCCCAGTAGCCCTTCTCTGTACCTGTTCCAGTTTGAATTCATCCTTCTTAAACATGGGAGACCAGAACTGCACACAATATTCCAGATGAGGTCTCACCAGTGCCTTGTATAACGGTACTAACACCTCCTTATCTTTACTGGAAATACCTCGCCTGATGCATCCCAAGACCGCATTAGCTTTTTTAACGGCCATATCACATTGGTGGCTCATAGTCATCCTATGATCAACCAATACTCCGAGGTCCTTCTCCTCCTCTGTTACTTCCAACTGCTGTGGCCCCAATTTATAACCAAAATTCTTGTTATTAATCCTTAAATGCATGACCTTGCACTTTTCACTATTACATTTCATCCTATTACTATTACTCCAGTTTACAAGGTCATCCAGATCTTCCTGTATGATATCCCGGTCCTTCTCTGTATTAGCAATACCTCCCAGCTTTGTGTCATCTGCAAACTTTATTAGCACATTCCCACTTTTTGTGCCAAGGTCAGTAATAAAAAGATTAAATAAGATTGGTCCCAAACCGATCCCTGAGGAACTCCACTAGTAACCTTCTTCCAGCCTGACAGTTCATCTTTCAGTATGACCCGTTGTAGTCTCCCCTTTAACCAGTTCCTTATCCACCTTTCAATTTTCATATTGATCCCCATCTTTTCCAATTTAGCTAATAATTCCCCATGTGGAACCGTATCAAATGCCTTACTGAAATCGAGGTAAATTAGATCCACTGCATTTCCTTTGTCTAAAAAATCTGTTACCTTCTCAAAGAAGGAGATCAGGTTGGGTTGGCACGATCTACCTTTTGTAAAACCATGTTGTATTTTGTCCCAATTACCATTGACCTCAATGCCCTTAACTACTTTCTCCTTCAAAATTTTTTCCAAGACCTTGCATACTACAGATGTCAAACTAACAGGCCTATAGTTACTCGGATCACTTTTTTCCCCTTTCTTAAAAATAGGAACTATGTTAGCAATTCTCCAGTCGTACGGTACAACCCCTGAGTTCACTGATTCATTAAAAATTCTTGCTAATGGGCTTGCAATTTCATGTGCCAGTTCCTTTAATATTCTTGGATGAAGATTATCTGGGCCCCCTGATTTAGTCCCATTAAACTGGTCGAGTTTGGCTTCTACCTCGGATGCGGTAATATCTACCTCCATATCCTCATTCGTCATCCTACCATTATCCCTAAGCTCCTCATTAGCCTCATTAAAGAGTGAGGCAAAGTATTTGTTTAGATATTGGGCCATGCCTAGATTATCCTTAACCTCCACTCCATCCTCAGTGTTTAGCAGTCTCGCTTCTTCGTTCTTTGTTTTCTTCTTATTTATATGGCTATAGAACCTTTTACTATTGGTTTTAATTCCCCTTGCAAGGTCCAACTCTACATGGCTTTTGGCCTTTCTCACTTTATCCCTACATGTTCTGATCTCAATAAGGTAGCTTTCCTTGCTAATCCCTCCCATTTTCCACTCCTTGTAGGCCTTCTGCTTTTTCTTAATCACCTCTCTGAGACGCTTGCTCATCCAGCTTGGTCTACAACTCCTGCCCCTGAATTTTTTCCCCTTTCTTGGGATGCAGGCTTCTGATAGTTTCTGCAACTTTGACTTGAAGTAATTCCAGGTCTCCTCCACCTTTAGATCCACAAGTTCTTCAGTCCAATCCACTTCCCTAACTAATTTCCTTAATTCTTTAAAGTTAGCCCTTTTAAAATAAAAAACCCTAGTCCCAGATCTATATTTGTTTATCCTTCCATCCAGTTTGAACTGAATTAGCTCATGATCACTTGAACCAAGGTTGTCCCCTACAACCATTTCTTCTATGAGGTCCTCACTACTCACCAAAACCAAATCTAAAACGGCATCCTCTCTTGTTGGTTCTTCAACTACTTGGTGAAGGAATCTATCAGCTATCGCATCCAGGAAAATCTGAGCCCTATTACTGGTAGTAGCACTTGTCCTCCAGTCTATATCTGGGAAGTTAAAGTTTCCCATGATCACACAATTCCCATTAGTGTTTACTTCATTAAAAAGATTAAAGAGGTCTCCATCCATATCCAAATCGGATCCCGGCGGTCTGTAGCACACCCCAAGCACTATCTCAGGGGAAGCTCTAGAAGCTTTCTTTCCCAATGTGATTTTGCCCAGACAGACTCTGTCTTATCCATTCCATCACTTCTTATTTCTTTACAGTCTACCTCATCATTGATATACAATGCTACTCCACCACCTTTGCCTTTATTTCTGTCTTTCCTAAACAGCAAATAGCCTTCAATACCTGTACTCCAGTCATGACTACTATTCCACCATGTTTCTGTTATCCCTATAATATCTGGTTTCACTTCCTGCACCAGTAGCTCTAGTTCCTCCATTTTGTTACCTAGGCTTCTCGCATTAGTGTACAAACATCTTAATTTTTGCCATTTGGCTTCACTGACATTCTTTACCCGATTAGGCACAGACATTCTACCACCAGTATCACTTATTAGACTGGTATCTACACAACCCTTCCTCCTTACGTCCATTCTCTTACCCACGGCTGTATCCTTTCTTACTTTGTTTTCTTCCTTCTCAATGTTAAATTCTGGCGTGGAGATTACCTGGACATCTCCCAACCATCTCCCCCAATTTCCTAGTTTAAAGCTCTCTTAATCAGTTGTGCCAGCCTCCATCCTAGAAGTCTATTTCCCTCCTTACTCAGGTGAAGTCCATCCCAAGAGAACAGTACTCTGTCCATGAATGCTTCCCAGTGGCCATACATCACAAAGCCCTCCTTATAGCACCACTGCCTGAGCCATCTGTTGATCGCCATAATCTTGTCACACCTTTGTCGCCCTTCTCTAGGAACAGGCAGAATTCCATGAATGCTTCCCAATGTCCATGTTCAGTGTGATTCCAGTCAATGACTGGGATCCAAATCCGTATGGCTTAGGTTTCTCCAGCATGAAACCGGAAGCAGATC